CATTCCTCAGCTGAATGCAATTTCTGCAGGAGGCCGCTGCATTTTGAAGTAATGAGTGAAAGAGAGAGATCCTACTTCTCAGGCATGAGCAAGCTGGTTTCTGCTCAGGCCTGAGTGTGGCCTCCATGATCCAATCCCAGACCATATACAGCCACAGAGTTGTCTTTGTATGTGAATTAAATTACATTAAAACCAAATCTCTAGTACAAAACATAGTTGTAAAAAGGAATTCCTGTGTAAGTGGTGGGTCCTTCTGCTGGCTACTGAATCAAAAAATAATTTGTCTTCATCCCTTTAATATGGTCTGTATTGTGTGGATGTATAAAATATATAACAATATACTGGTGTTCTGGTAATGGCTTCAGACCTGTTGGGGTGGCAGAACCTTCCGTTCTGCTTGCCCCAATATCTCGTCTACCCAGTGGCTGACCCAGCTACATCCAAGTTACTGAACAGTTCAGGAAAAAGTGATGCCACTGTAGAAGTCAGTTTATCTTTAAACTTCTCACCTCAAATCTCAAATGGACAACTTGCATTGCTACATTCCTGGTGCTGCTGGTTCCCTTCCCTGGCTCACTTCTCAGCTCCTGCCTTGACTTCGTACTTTCCTTTGAAAGCCGCAACCAGATTGTCCATCTGGCACCAAGTCCACACACCTGCCTCCGTGCCGGTAATCTTGTGCCCTCCAGGGGAAGCGGCAGGGGTTTGCTTCCTCACCTCCTTCACTTTCTCCTCTGGATCCCATCCCTTCTAGCTCATGCCTCCTACCACCTCTTCTCAGTCTTCAGTTTCTTCCCGTCTGTTGACCCCTTCCCACTGACCTGCAACAGGTTTTGTTGCCCGTTAAAAAAAAAGCCCTTCCTCAGCCTAAGTCCCCTTCCAGCCACTGTCCATCTCTGTTCTGTCCATTATCTACTCAGACGTCCATTCAACCTTTCATCCCTGGTCCCTCTAGAGGTCACTCGCCACTGTCACCAACAACTTTCCTTTTGCCAAATCCAGTGCCAGCTCTGTCTTCTCCTCACGGGCTCTTTCAGTGGTATTTGATATGGTCCGTGGCTACCTTTTGAAAGCTTTCTCCTCGAAGCTATGCACTAACCTCTCCTGACTATTATCCCTTACTTTTTGAGAGCCAGTCGTTCTTGGTCTGTTTGGCTTGGTCTTCTTGTGCATGTTCAGAGCCCCTCCAGTTTCATCTCTAGCTGCACTCAAACCCCATCCACTCCATGATCTCTCCCAGACCTGGCCTTTCAGTTCATCTGTACATGTGCCTGCCATCTGATTGAGTGTCACTCAGGCCTCTCTCATCTTGACTATTAGCAAGTCCTGTAAGTTCAGCTCGTCAGGCAATTTCTCTTCACTGTACTGCTACTACCGGGCGTGCTACCAGGATGTGTGCCATCTACCCCAGCCTCCCCACACAGCAGCCTGGGGGATCTTGGAAAAAAAATACGTACATTGTATCCCTCTCTTACTAAAAATCTTTCTGGGTCTTCCCATTGCACTCAGATTGGGTTCCAGATTCCTTACAGGCTGACATAGCTCTCTCTGGCCTCATTCCCCATGGCTCTGATATGACTTACATTAGGCCTTGCATCTTGACCTCAAAAATTCCAGACTCTTCAGGCTTCAGGCCTTGGTATTGGCTGTTGTTTCTCTGTTTGGATTTTTCACCCCTGGATCTTGGTGTGGCTGTCCCTTGTTACTCAGGACAAGTGTCCTCAAGGAGACCTCTGAGTGCTCTGGCTAAGGCAGCATTCTGACCATCAGTCGACCTCCCCAGCACCATCACCGCCATGACTTTCCCGAGTGAGATTTTCCTGTTAGGCCTTAATATAGTCTCCTTGAGGACCAGTACTTCTCTTTCTCCTCACTTCTTATCCTTAACACCCAGGACAGTACCTGGCACACAGCAGGCAGTCAACAAATGAGATTTCAATGAGTGTGAGGACCACCAGCACCACACCTGCTTTACTAGAAAGTGGACGAACTGGATGGAGAAGAGCAAGCAGCCAGAGGATGGGAGTCAGCACTCACCTCTCTGAGTCATGCTTCCTCGTCTCCTGGGAGGGAGGCACTGGCACTCCTTCCTGTGACACTAGGGATGGACCCGGGCTTCTTGGGGGCACCCAGTCTGTTAGTACCAGCCCTGGAAAGAGCTCAGCCAAATCATGGTTTCCCGCCTGAAACTCCCTCTGCCTCCTTTCCTTCCAATGTGTCTTTGTTCTCTGAGTAGTGGGCAATATCCTGAGTGCTTCAGGAAGACCCACTGTTCCTCTTCAGAGAACTCAAGTGTCAGCTGGCTTAACAAGATCTCTCAGTGCCGTTTCCTCACTGCTGCTGGGAGCTAAGGGAACAGAGGATGAGCTGAGCTGCCGGAAACAGATCGGACTTGTGAGCTGCTTAAAAATGAGAAACTTGACTTGAATAAGCAACTCTAAGCTGTCAGGGAAGTGTCCCAAGAACATTTAGAAGCCAGGGCATTAATTATCTTGTCTTAGAGGGGAAAGGGTGAGTGGTATTTTATAATCTCAGTAGAGAAAATGCCCTTGCATTTAAGAAATTCCTCCTACCAGGCTTCTTGACCCTTGTATTCTAGCCTGTTCTTGTCTGGTGTCCACTACTTCCACCACCCTTCTCACTCCACCCCCAGCACAGAACACAGGAGGCAGAGCCAGAGTCTGTAGACTGTCCCTGGAATTCCAGGAATAATGCTCCCAAAGGGAGTTGCTGTTCCCACTTCAATGAGCCTCTAATTTAATCATATCTGCCTCTGACCCCCCCCCCCCCCCCACTCAGGGTTAAGAGCAGGCTCCCTGACCTGAAAAGATTGTTCTCTGGTGAGAGAGAAAACATTAAAACCCCATCAGCTGGGGATCCTGAATACACATCCCCATATCTGATAGTGACAACTGAAACCTAACAGGACTGTCATGTGTTTACATACGTGACTGTTAATCTTTAGAATGGCCTGCAGAGTAACTCCACCGTCCCCATTTACAGATGAGCAAACTGAAGCTCCCAAAGGAAAGGCCACCTGTCCAAGATAACCTCAGAACAGTTCCAGGTAATATGACGCGAATCCTAAATCTTCTCCTGCCTTACATAAACAATGACAGTCAAAAATAACTGGTTGGGTGGTGGAGAGGGCCAGAGTCCCACCACAAGTACCCTTCCTGGTGACAGTTAAGCCAGCTTCTACCCTACCGCCTCTTACAGGCCCTGGGATAGAGGAACCATTCTCTACCAGTCATGTAGATAGCAGCAGAGCGTTTCCCTGCAAGTGGGTCAAGTACCCTGGACCCACAACCTCACTCAAGCTGGACCCACTAGCCCCAGCTTCATCTCCAAATGCCCAGCTATGAGTCCTCAGCTTCCAAAGATCCAGGACTGTGAACAGGAAGGGGTCAGTGGGTAGATATATGCAGGCTTAACCTGGCAGTTGCCAGAGGCTAGACTTGGCTGTCCTGAGACACAAGCAGATTATACTTCCTCTATGCAAAACAGGGCCCTGTTCCTGTTCTGGGATGTATGTGGTTAGAGCCTCTCAGCAGGGGCCTCTCTGGAGGCTCAGCTGGGGGTGGTGGGGGGAGGAAGGGTAGCTATTGTGTTTACTCAGTCCCCTGCAACCCAGGCCAGAGAAGTTCATGAGGCCATGTCATGCTTCCAATCTGATCCTTCAGGAGCCAGATGTGCCTTCTCAGGTCACAGCCCACACAGGGCTTCTGACCCATCTGAGGGCCAGAGACTTTCCTTCTGGCTTTGCCTTAGGTAAGCTGCTAGTGAGGGATCATAGCCCACCACATGAGCCTCTGTGCCCAAGTCAGAAAGAGGAAGGTGGCCTCTGCTTCCATCCTAGCTGTGCCTGGAGGGCAGGCAAAAGCAACTCCCACCCCAGGATTACCCACAAGCAGGCAGCAAAGTTAGCCATGTCTGCAGACTTTTAGCTGCTTAAGACAGGCTCTGAGTAGCCCAGCTGTGCTCAGCTCTCTTGACAGCAAGGCCCCAGTTCTAGCTGTCAGGCTGCATGTGACTCCCCTGCCCTCAAAGACCAGGTATGGGCAGGTATGGAGTTGGTGATGATGCAGACCCAGGATACGGCTGCTCAAGGGCTCTGGGCCTGACCTCACCCACAATTCCTCACACCTTCTAGCGTGCAGACCCTGAACAAGCTGGCTGTCTTGAAATCTACACTGGATACCAAGCATAGAATCCTGGCACATGCCATCCTAGTCAGATACTGCACCTCTTACTAAGTGGGTTCAGCTCTGAGAGGTGGGGCAAGGTCCCCACCTTGGTAGACAGACATGACCACTAGAGGTCGCAATCACCTGCATTGCCCTCATCACCAACCTGGGAATGAAGGTTCCCAGGGCTACTGCCTCTCCAGGCCTTGCTGGAAGCCAAAAATGAAGCAGTCCTGTAGGTTCTCTGCATTCAAAGCCTTCTTAGTCTAGTAGGTGAGAGACTCATGAGCAGCAGAGGCTGGAGGGGCAGGAGACCCACTTTGCTCTCTGGGAAAGACCAACACCGCATTCCAGGGACCATCGTGAGATTGCCCTCAAAAGAAGCCCATGAACAAACTAGCCTTTAACCGCCCCACTCCCACCCCTTACAGGCCAGGGGCCTTTTCTCCATGGTGATTTCCCCCAGTGACACCTTCCCATTGACTTGCAACAGGTTTTGTTGCCCATTCAAGAAAAAAAGAGAAAGCCCTTCCTCAATGTAAGCCCCCTTCCAGCCTCTGCCTCTCTCTGTTCTGCCCATTACCTACTCAGACATCACCACCTCAGTTCTCTCTTCTCTCCTCCCCCTAAACCTCTAATGACACAAGATTAGCTGTCTGGCCTTCCAGTAGTATTTATTGAGCAACTGTTTATAGGCAAGGTTTGGGGGAGTCAGGACAGTGGAGTTGCAGTGTGAGGCAGGTGAGGGAATTCCAGAAAGGCAAGGTAAGAGGGTGGAGGTAGGGGTGTGCTCAGAGTCACCAACTCACATGCTTAGGACTCTTCAGCTGTAGGTCCCCAGCAGAAGTTCTTATTATAAAAGTGGTGGTTATCCCTTGTCAGGGCCATGCCCAGCTGGGCCCAGAAGCTGCCCTGGCCACTGGGTTGGTGGGGCCAGAGGAGGACACTCTGACAGCAGAGGCGCCGGCGCAGCCTCACGTAACGGGAACGGTAGGCATCAGGGTGCAGGATCACCAGAACCACCACATCTTTGTGGTCCTCCAGCAGGCGCTGTTGGGCCAGCAAGAAGCTGGCCCGCAAAAGGCCACTGATGCAGTCGGTGTGGGCCAACACAAACAGTGTCTTACGGCTGCTATAGACCGAGGCCCATATATTCTCGAAGAGTGTCTTGCCAGGCAGCCAGTCTCGCTCCTCCAGACACAGGCGCAGTGCCTTGCGCCCTCGCTGCTCCTCCAGCCGCACCCGCAGCTCATTGTACACCCAATCTGTCACCGCACCCTGCGCTTTGTCAAAGACCACGAAGGCATCATAGAGCAGGGCATCTGTGCCCTGCCACAGTCCCCGCCCCTGCCAGGGAAGCCAGGTCAGGCACAGGTGGAAGCAGTACCAAAGGTCCCAGCCACAGAAGTGGTGCAGCAAAGGCACAGCCAGGCCCAGGGCTACTGCCAGCAGTGAGAGGCTAAAGCAGTCCCAGGAGAGGGCTTCATCGAGGCAGAGGCGCAGATCCTGTGTGAAGATGCTTTTGCCCTGCAGCTGGCCCGGGCTGCCACACTTCACGTGACTGGGCAGACCAGGCACAGCAGCCTGAACCTCTAGCAGGAAATCCACGAAGATTGCCCCGCAGGCACAGTGCAGAGGGTTGGCGCTCACATCCAGTACCTTAAGGGTGCCTGCCTGAAGACTAAACCAGGAGGGCTCCACTGTTTTGAGGGCATTGGCCCTGAGGTTGAGCTCACGCAGCATTTTGGCCTGGGCAAAGAAGCCAGGCGCCACCAGGCTAATGCTGTTGCTGCTGAGGTCTAGCCTCTGGAGGGCTGTGCCCACAGGCAGGCTGCCATTGGTCAGGGTCTTTAGCTGGTTTCCTGCCATGTCCAGCACTTCTAGGTTGGGTAGGAGGACCAGGTTACTCCAGTTGAAGAAGGCCAAGCGATTGTTAGAGAGACGCAGCAGCCGCAAGGTCTTGGGGAGTTTGTCTAGGGTGCGAGGCATGAGTGCATGCAGGTGATTCTGGGACAGATCCAGCCGCACTAGGCATTTCAGTCCTTTGAAGAAGTGGAGGTAGAGGTCTCCCTCAGCCCACATACGGCTCAAGGAGTTACCGCTGAAGTCTAGCGCCCATAGTGAGTTGCTGCTGAGCTGCGGGGACACCCGACTGTGGATGTTGTTATGTGCCAGGCTGAGGTAGCGCAGGGCAGGCAGGCGGGCCAAGAAGCTGAGGTTGTGGCCTATGCCCTGCATTCTAAAGGGCAGGCTATTGTAGCTGAGGTCCAGGGCTTCCAGCTGTGGCAGTTCCGTGAACGAGTGTCCATGGTACAGGTCCAGCTTGTTATGGGACAGGTTCAGCACCCGCAGGCTGGTCAGTGGCACAAACTGTGAGCCATTGACCGCCTGTGCTATGCTGTTGTGGCTCAAGTGCAGGCACTGGAGGCGTGAGAGCTGGGCAAACATCTCTGGCTGGACTGTCGCCAGATTGTTCCGTGACAGGTCCAAGGTGAAGTTAAGTGTTTTACAGTTTGGCATGAAGTCCTCAGAGCTGAAGGAGTCCAGTGAACCTGGGGCAAGGTACCCAGACTGCAGCCGGACCTCTTGCCCACCGTCTACCTGCCTGGTGTTGACCACCAGCTTTGCGGCTCCGCTAATGCGGTTGTCTGACAAGTCCACATACTTCAGGTTGGGGAAGGCCCCAAAGATGCCCAGCTGAGCCTGACTGATAAAGTTCATTTGCAGTCGCAGACTCTTAAGCATGGGCAGACTGGTTAGTGAGCGAAGTGTGGTCTCACTGAGCGAGCGGAAGAAGATGCCATGCATGTCCAGCTCCTGCAGGGAGATAAGGCTCCCAAAGGAGGGTGCCAGGTGCAGGTGGGCAAAGGACACCTTCTTGTGGTAGTTAAAGGACAAGTTAAGCTTGCGCAGCTTCTTGAGGCTCTTGAAGGCCATAGTTTTGGTGATGCAATTGTAGAGAAAGTTCTCACTTAAGTCCAGCACTGTGAGGTTGTCCAGACCGTGGAACCAAGTGACGTCCAGGCTGTAGAGAGAAATATCCCTCAGTACCAAGCCTTCAAGGTGGCTCAGGTGGCTGAATGTGTTGGGGTGCAACCGAGGGAAGCCACGTGGGCACTCCCTGCAGGGGTTTTGGGCATGATCACAGCGTCGGCAGTTCCCACCCAAGTCTAACACACGTAAGGCGGTCAGGTTGGCCAGGTCCTCAGGTACCAGACTGACAATGTGGTTGTAGGATAACAGCAGGGACTCCAGAGTGGGAGGTAGGCTGTGGGGCACAGCCGTGAGATTGTTATACTTGAGTGATAGGTGGGTGAGGTTGCCCAGGCCAAGGAGGGCGCCTGGAGTCACCCTGACGGCCTGCATGCATGGGTTCTTGTAATAGCAGTTGCCATCCATGAACAGGAAGCGCAGGGAATGTAGGCCAGCAAAGGTGGTGGGGCCAAGCACCAGGATATTAGTGCGGCTTAGGGACAGGGACACAAGGGAGCTGGGCAGAGCGGGCACTGTTGTGATGTAGTTGTAGCTCAGATTCAGCTCCTCCAGGGTGGGCACAGCCAGGAAGGTGTCCCGCTCGATGGTCATGTAGCAAGAGAAGTGCATAGGACTGAGGCTGGCTGGTGGGCAGTTCCACATGAGGTCGAGACGCCGCAGGTTGGGCAGGTGGGCAAAGTCAGAGGCATGAAGGTGGTGGATACGGTTGGAGCGCAGGGACAAACTGGTGATGTTGCCACGGGGTGCTGCTGCAGGGAAGTGGGGCACTGACTTCAGCAACAGCCAACTGCAGTTCACCAGGCCATGGGGCTGAAGTTCACAGGGCAGGAAGGCAGGCAGGTTACCCAGGGCCAGTGCCATGGCCAGCACCAAGGCCTGCACTAGTAGAGATAGGGGGTGCAGAGCACCACAAAAGCGGTCCTGAGGGGCAGGGGGTCGTGTGAGTGTCCAGCCCCAGCTCCACCTCCACCAGCCCCACTTCCCAGGGACCCAAACCCCCAGGGAGGCTCCTCCCTCTCCTTCAGCCCCCCACCACCTCCCCAAGGCTCATTTGGGAACTTGGCTGTGAAATCTCTGAGAACCTGGACTCGGGTATCAGACGTAGCCTTTAACTCAGACTTTGAACTCAGAACTCAGACCTGGAATTCAGCCTCATGATTTAGAGCTTTTATTCACAACCCAGAACCAACGAGTCAGGTGGGCTGGGTGAGGTGGTCACCTGACCCACTGGGTCTCTCCTCCACTTTCTCTGTTCTCCTGAGCAAGGTGGCACTTGCTCTCTTCTTTCCCACTGCCCTGAAAAGCCCCGTGCCTTCTGCCAATCTCCTCCTAACCCCTCTATCTCCCTTTGACCAAGATCCAAGCAAGAGTGAGGGCTCCCTGCTCTGCCTTCCATGGCCACCAGGCCTAGAGCCGCCCCTGGTTAGACCAGGCAGTGCTCAGCTTTCACCCATTTACCTCACCTGTCCCAGCCCTTGGGCACTCAACCTGGTATGAGTCAGAACAGATCTGATGGAGGGATGGGCAGCCAAGTGGCAGGAGCCCAGCCTTGGGCATCAGGGCTTTGATTTGTAGCCCCAGCACCAGCAGACTGCAGTTTGGGGCCTCAGTCTCTCATCCACACAATAGTTTGAGTTTCACTGCTCAGAGAATGGTTTCGGCTCTCATGTCTCCAGGGCTCCATGTGTCCCCAGGGCTGTGAGGTCCCTTTCACTGTTTCCTGTAGCCCCTAGGCTCACTGCCCTCCCACCCCTTGTTAGGCTGCCCATTTCCCGGGGCCGAAGGCTGTTGTCCTACCATGGCTTCTCCAGAGAGCAGGTTGGCAGACTGGGCTTCAAGCTTGAGGTCCCTTCTCCCAGTAGTGGTGGCTCAGAGAATTTCACAACAGCCAGGTAGCCCCCACTCCCTGCTTATTCCTCAAGTCTGGAGCCCCAGTTGGGAAAACCACTGTTCTGCTTCCAAGTACAGTTGAGAGTGAACGGGGGTGGGGGAGAGGGCCTCCCCAAGGCTCCTGGGACCCACCCCATACATTGCAAGGGTTGGGGGCAGGGGTGTATGTGTGATTTGAGTCAGGCATCATTTGCATAGCCAGATGGCAGACTTCCTCTTTCCACAAGCCCCTCAGAGAGGCAGCCCTTGCCCCTTCTCCCCCAAGAATCCACAACATTCCAGGACCTCACACCTGTCTGCTGGAGGACCAGGAGGAAAGAGGCCAAGTCCGGTACAAGCTCAGTGAAAAATTGGGATTGTTCCATTTTTCTGGGCCAGGTGTTCTGAGTCCTGGCTGGAGCAACTCCCCCATTGCAAGAGAAATCTTTCACCCAAAACTTCAGCCAGCACCTGCTCACTTCTGCCTTCCTTCCGTCCATGCCCACCTACCCCAGATCCCCATCAGAGTGCAGCAGGCCTCCTTGGGGGCAGGCCCACAGTTGGTCCACGGGGACCCTGTGGCTCATCACCTAATCGGCTCCTCCTGACCTAGGTGACTGAATTCAGACTGCTCTGGCCCAGAGTCCCGGAACAACCTGAGACTCCCGCCACCCCCACAGCAATCATGTTGGTTCCACCTTCCGAATCTGCCCACTGCTCATCACAACCTGGCCTGAGCTACCATCACCTACTGCCTGGACCCATACAGTTACCTCCTCACTAGTTGTTCAACTGCTGCTCTTACACTCCACGGTCTGTTTTCATTTGAACCCTGGAGGTACCCATTAAAACCCAAGTCCTATTATGTCCCTCCTCTGCTCAGACAGTCACAGCCATAATCCACATCCCATAATGACCAACAGGGCCCTGTGGAACCTGCTCCACCATACCCTACCTCCCTGATCTATCTCCAGTCACAGTGACCTCCACAGTGGCTTGAACACATCTACCTACCTCAGGGCCTTTGAACATGCTATTCTCTACCTGGATCCTCCATGTGGCCCCCTCCACCTTTTCTGGAGTCTCTGTTCACCTGTCCCCATCTCAATGAGGCCTTCCCTGACCCTCATAAACCTCCCACCCTAGACCTAGCACTCCAGAGCTCCCTCTACTTGCTGTCTTCCTTTTTCTGAGCAGTTTCACTTGCTGAAATACATCACTGATTTTTCAATGGTTCAGTGCCTTATTCCTCTACTAAAATGTCTTCTTGAGCCCTGGTTTAGGATAAACACTGGACTGCTAACGACAGTGGCGGCAGTTCAAACCCACCATCCACTCTAGGAAACCCTATGTTGTTCTAAAGTGCCATCAAGTTGGTTCCGACCCATAGCGACCCTGAACAGGGTTTCCGAGGCTGTAAATCTTCACAGGAGCAGAAAGCCTCATCTTTCTCCCGCTGAGCACTTGGTAATTTCTAACTGCTGACCTTGCGGTTCACAGCCCAATTCATAACCACTACGCTAACAGAACTCCTTAGGAAACCCTATACAGGGTCACTATGAGTTGGAAACGACTTGAAGACATTTAACAGCACTATGTCTTGCGGGCAGTGATCAACTGTTGTCTGTATTTCAGGGCCCAGCACAGTGCTTGGCACATGGTGGGTGCTCAAGTTTTGCTGTATCAATGGATTCCAACACTCAGCTCTGATCAGGCACAGTGAGGAGGCTGAGGGTTTGAATGAATGAACAAGCAAATGTAGTCTCCCCTGGGAGTAGGCAGGGCTGGGCACTTGCCACACCTACCTCAAGCTTCCAAGGCCAGGTATCTAGGTGGCTTACAGGCTCAGGTGGCTCAGCAGCCTGGAGGCAACAGCTGAAAACCAGTGCTTCAAATGGCCAAGGGCAGACCTCTTATAGGTTCTGGCTGGGATCCCAGCTCTCCCTTCAAACCTAGGGTCTTTAGCAGGAGCTGAGAAAGACCCTAGGCACGGCACAGGACACTGCCCTGTGCTTCCTGCCCAGGCCATCCTCCCAGAATAAAGTGCAACCCACCATCAGAGCTACAAACTGAGGCTCTAGCTCCTGTTGAGCCCCAGGCCCAAAGGAAACTTTCTCAGTCTGTGACTGAGAACGTGGACTCAACAGTCCCCTCCCCCAGCTCCCCAGCAGCTGCTCTGCCTCCCTTAGCAGCAGGAAAGCAGGCACCCAGGAGAGACTTGACGAGCTGACAGGCAGGGAACTGGCAGACAGAAACATTTCCAGCGCTTATGGTGCCCAACACAGCCTCAGTTCCACAGAGCTGGGAAAGCTAGAGATTTGAGCCCTTCCCCACTGGTCAGCTGAAAAATGTCCCACAGCTATCCATGTCCTCTTTCCCTGACCTGAGGATACCTTTCATGATAAAAGGGACTTTGCAGATGGGAAGATTATCCTGGATTATTTTAAATGTTATCAAAGTGTCCTTTAAGAGGTTGATAGAGGGCGATTTCACTGCAGAAGACCACATTACAATGATGGGAGCAGACGGAAGCCAAGTCGGAGACAGGCTGTTCACAGGTCTTTGAGACACGTAGGGGCCACAGGTCTAGAAGTGCAAGCAGCCTCTAGAAGCTAGCAAAGGCCAGGAAATGGGTTCTTTCCAGAAGGAAATTTCTGGCCTACAGAAGGAATGAGCTGTGCCAACACTTTGATTTTAACCCCAGAAGACTCAATTCTGACTTTCGGCCTCCAGAATGGTCTGCTACTAAATCTGTGTGGTGTTAAACCATTGTTTGTGGTCATGTGTTAAAGCAGCCACAGGAAACAAAGACACCCAGACCCTTTATACGCAGCAGAGGTGTGCCCGCCTCCTGGGCCAGGTTCCTGTCAAGGACCTGCATAAGGCAGTGCCATTGTTTCTATGTGGCCACACATGCCCCTCGGATTCCCACAGCCAGGAGGGCTGGGCCTCCACCTAGCAGGCTGATGTACTCCTCTTGAGTTGAGACAGGGAAAGGTGGATGCACAAGGCCTTCCCCATCTCAGTGCCCAATAGTGGTCCCTCAGATGTTGATTTAAAAATATTTTATTCTTTAGAAAATACAGCATTCACCCATCCATCCTGCAGTGATCCTATGTCCCAGCGCTAATGGACCCCACCCCTTGTGGCCAAAGGCTTCTGAGACCCTAGTCTCAGTTCCCCTGAGGGCCAATGGTCACGCTAGGCCGTCCAGCCAGCCCTCTTGAGCAGCCAGGCAGGACCCCAGATCCCTGGGAACGTGAATGAAAGACAGGGACAACAATAGGAGGAGGGTCACAAAATGTCAGCCCAGTGGCCCTCAGAAGCTACAGAAGGTGCTCAGTCAGCTCAGTCTCTGGGAGCCCAAGCTGAAGGAGGAGGAGCAGGGGTGGGTGGCCCCCAGCCCCACGCCAGCCTGGCTCAGGTCCAGCCTCCTAGCTGTCATCACCATTCTCACCAGGGCCTCGGATGAGGCGTTTGTGGCCCCGCTTGCCCCCAGGACCCTTGGGCTTGGCAAAGGCCTGCTTGAAGGCATGTTGCTTGGGGTGCACCTCATCGTAGAGGAACTCAGCTGTCAGCTCTGCTCCATCGCCAATCTCAATCTGTATGGGGTAGAGCTATGGTCACCCCCTCAATGTCTTAGCCCCAAATTCAGAGGCCTCCTCCCAGCTCCCCAGCTAGAAAGCCAAGCCCAAGAACACAGAACCTGAGGCCTGCTGCCCTGCACATCCTGGGGAAGGAGAGGGTAAGATGGGTTAGGGCTTGCCCGTGCCATTGGTCAGTTGGGCCATCTTGGGCAAGGCTCCCCCGCAGGCCTTGGTTTCTCCATCCATCAGTGGAGAACTATAATCCCTGCTTTGCCATCAATGCAGGGCTCTCAGTGCCCCATGTAGAGAGGTGGGCCCTGGAGGATGGGTGCCCACCTTCTTGGCGATGTCTAGCTGGAAGTCCTGCTCCACGGAGTCCAGGAGGCGGCTCTTACAACTGGAATAGAGCATGCGCTCCTTGATGCTGCACTTGTAGCCTGGCATCGAGTAGATGAACACTGGGGAAGGGCATGCAGATGAGGTTGGGCAGACCCAGACACAGCTGAAGCCCCCAACAGTAAGCCTACCCTGCTGTAGGTTCAGGGGTCCTGCCACAGCTACTCACCAACAGACTCAAGGTGGTCACCTTCGTGGGTATGCTTATAGAGGAAGAAGTGGTAGCGGGCAGCATCTCGGGGCACCCTCAAGGGCAGCTGGAGCAAATCTGTGGGCTCTGTGTGCACCAGCTCAATCGTCTCCCGTTCCAGGTCCAACTTCTGCCAAGGGTCACAGGGAGATGTTAGGGCACCCAGTGGTGAGTAACCAAAGAGCCCTTGAGGTGAGTTTGAGTGGCAGATAGGGACCAGGGTGGACCCTGGTGTGTCCATTTCCCAGGACTCTCTTCTTCCTCAATGGCCCCTCTGTCCCTTTGAAAGTAAACCTCCCATAAGGGGTGGATAGGACAGTGAAGAGGGCTGCACCTTGGAAGGGCAGAGCCAATTATGAGGTTGCACCTGGATCAATGGGGCAAAGGGACCCTGCCTGGTGGGAGGGGTACCAAGGGGACGAGAGGGACTGGTGACTGAGGGGTCAGTGTGAAGCCTAGGGGAGTGTGTGTTTAGGATAGACAGGCAGGATTGGGGCCACGTGCTCCCAGATGGACGTGTGTGTGAGCAGGGAAGAGAGTGCATTCATCTATGGACAGAAGGCTCAGAGTAGGAACAGCTTGTTCTACGAGCACATGGTTGAGCTGCAGTGGCAGGCCGGGTGTGCGTGGGCCACACAGGGACTGGGTACCCACCATCTGGATGTAGTTGATCATCTTCTGTTTGAGCTGCTGGAGTGCCCGTTGAGCCTCAGGCTGTAGAGGGAAGGCAAGGCCCTGCAGGGTCTGGTGCTTGCTCTCCACACTGATTTCTGTCTTCACCTTGAGGAGACAGGGAGAGTGAAGGTCACTGTCTGCCAGCACCAAGGGGACACAGGCTTGAATAGCAGGGAATTTGATGTGGCTTCCAGGGCTCGCTCCTAGCTGGGACTCCTGCCATGCTGCTCAGCACACCCACCTCATTGATACGGATCTGCTGAAGTTCTCTCTCAGCTGAGGTCAGCGGGGCAGGCGCTGCACAGGATGACAGGTGCTTCTGGTACCCAGCGAAGGAGAGGTCATCCTGGCCGGGAAATGAAACACAGATGGACATCTCTGCGAGAACCCCAGCTTGCAGTCCCTGGATACCCTCATCCTGTCCCTGAGCCAAGCACAGCCTTGCTCTGTGCCCTGACAACACCCACATGCTGTAGGCTATGGTCCCAGATGGTGGGGTTGGTTGTGGCCCAGGGTCCTGGTAGAGGGGAGAGGCTGAGGGCTACCTTCACAGTTCCAAAGAGCTCATCCTTGATGTGGCCGCCCCCAAACTCTTTCTTCACTGTGGCCCGTGTGGCCGCATACAGCATCTTCAGTCGTACCTGAAAGGTGGGGGCAAGCTTTGAGACCCCTGAGGCAGAGCTGTCTCTGCCACCATAGGCAGGAACCTCTGAGTGGGGACCCAGCCAGCACATTGTACCCATGCACCCAGCAGAGGGCGCTGCACAGAAGCAGCGTGTAAGTGGGAAATGCAGCAGGGCTGGCTCTGGCCAGTAGGGGGAGCACTCATTCAGGCCAACCCTTCCACCTCCCAGAGCCAGGCTGATGCATTCAGGAGGGCTCTAAGAGACCCCAAGCTCCAAAGCATAGGGCCTTGTCCCTCTCTCAGACTCTGTGGGGCAGGACCCAACCATCTCTCCCCTTAGAAGCCCCAGGGCAGATTTTTAGATTTTCAAGGAGCAGACCTCTAGTCTCTCTGTAAGATACCCCTGGGCAGGGCCTTGTCTCTGAGCTTACACCCAACCCTCTCCAGTCCCAAGTTTGGGACAGGCCAGGGTTCCCTTGTACTTACTGGGGAATTGTCAGGTGACCAGGCAAGAAACAGCCACTCGAAGCCCTGGGCATTCTGTGAGTCAAGACGGTAGAGCAGGTAGCATGGTTGCTGGGTGTCCAGTAGAGGCAGCACGGTTCTGTCATAATCCTGGTCCCAGCCACCTGCCAGCTCCCGCGAGGCGCCCAGCACAAGCTGCTCTAGGGACAGAGGCAGGGTGAGCTGAAGAGTGGCTATCTCCTGTCTCCACCTTTGACTGTGGCCATTTCACCCTAGCTGTCCCTGGAGCCTCCATGTCCTGGAGGCAGGAGGCGTCATCACTGAAATCAGTTAGTGAGTGAATGGATGAGTAAGGGCATGAAGCTGCCAGCTAGGGCCTGTTCCCGCTACACACACACACATGTGTACACATATGTGACCATGAGAATATGGCCAGTCCATTCAACAGACCACCACATGAAAACATGGCCAGAGCCCACAGCTACCAACACTGTGGCCCCCTCATAGATACCTACATACTCAGCGGCTCACTCGGATCCCACCCCATCAGCACAGCTGCTCAGCACCCACTGTGCCGTCTCCTGCTCCCCTCCTCCCTCACCTGGGGCTCCAGCAGACCCCAGCCCATTCCTCTCAGAACAAATATGTTGAGAGAGGTAGTGTTATAGGCTCAGGGCACAGGAGCATCTAAGAAAGAGGGGTTAGGGGCTCCCGTGAGACACGATACAAACAGGAACCTGCTTTCACTCTTCCAGCTGTAGCTCCCTCCCAAAATAGTGACAAAGCAAAAGCAGTCAACTTCCCAATGCCTGGGCACAAAAGCTCTGCCACCTCCTTGGCTGGTACAAAGTGGTTGAGTCAGGTGTAAGCGCCAGAGCCTGGTTGATTTGGAGACACACTGGGTCTATTAGCAGGGCACCAAGCACCAACCCCATCTGCACAGGTGGAGTTAAGTGGAAAAATTTGACAAGGGAGAATCCTGAACATACTAGGCCCACCTGCCCAGCCCTCTCTGTGGAACTTGGGTCTCCTTGTCTACTCTCCCCAGAACTCCTATGAGATCAGGGCTAAAAACCAGTATCCACAGTCTTAATAACGACATTGTTTCATTTGTTACCAATGTTTCAAACTGAGAAACTTTACATAAGTGGAATTCACAGCTCATGGCTTCTCTAGAAAAACCAGGAACTCTGGCCACACTGGGCCACACTCCTGTGGCCATGTCAGGAGATGGGAGTGGCCACATGCCAGTATGGCCTGGATCCTCCTGTCTATCACTCCCAAGTGTCCCAACAACCATAACACAGAACTGAGGTAAGAGCCCATCTAGAAATAGCACCTGCTCAGAGTCTGCAGGGACATCTTGTCTGGGAGGCAACAGGGAAGGGTGACACCTGGGGTCTGGTTAAGTGGGGGGCTGTAGCTCACCACCCAGGACGTCTTCACTAATAACCCACCACAATGAGCCCTGCCTCAGCCTCTGTGAACATCTAATTTGGGGACCCAGGACAAAGTCCAGCATAGTACCGGGTCAAAAGCCTACGGTGAATCCTGAGTCTCAGTGGAAACTGCTTTGAGCCAATTCAATGTGAGACAAGTCAGTAGGGCATAAAGCCCACTCGGGGAGCCTCCAAAGGGTCCACCACAGCATGACAGTAAGGACCTGTGAGAGAAGCAGCCCACTGCCAGTCTCAGAGTTCGTATCCCTCACCTTCACAGGCAGCCCCTCAGACAGAGAGAAGGGGAGGGGTCCTCTTCCCCTAAATTCCCACCTCAGTCTAACCTCCTGCTTCTTCAAACCCTCTCCACTCCAGGCTTCAGGTCAAGGCCCCTCATCCCTACATCCCAGCATTCCCTTCTCTACAAGCCCCAAGAGTCTGGGACCAAGGTCTGGACAATTCCAGAATGCCCAGATCCTACTCTGAGAGTGAACTGGGCACGTAAGTCCTTTCTCCCTGTTGTGGGGCACTCCCAAAAGGCAGGCTCCCTCTTGCCTCTTTCAGTTCACCCCAGGCTGGCAGCTGAGTCACCCCAGGCAGGCCTATGGGTCACAAACGGGGGGATGGGGGGCAGTGGCATTAGTCTGGCTGTGCTGGCTGCCTGCCCTTACTTATTCCCTATCCCCTACTGAGCACAGCCCAGGGTGCTAACGAGGTCCACCTCTAGGGAGACTGGACAGGTCCCTAGGACAGGGCTCCCTGCCCTGAATCAGGGGGGTTATGATCAGCCCACTTCCACACTCCCCTATGAGGTGTTTCATTCAAGTCACCTCACCCTTTCATTCCCAGATAAAAAACAAGGTCCTGGAGCAGCCAGAGGCCAACATTGTCTCCCCACCAGAAGCATTTGGGACCAGCCCCCAGCCCCCAGCCCAGGCCCTAGTCTATGGGGGCCACTCACCGTCCTCAATGACGACTTTGATGAGCCGGACAGAGCCAGCCCGGGCCTTAGCAAAGAACTCCTTTAGCTCTTCAGTGGCTATAAGAATAAGAAACATGATGAGGGCCGAGTAGACAGGGTGGGCAGGGGTGTGCGTCAATCTACTCTGTCCTCAAGGGTCTGGTGGCCCAGCTGAGAGCTTGGGTTAAATACAGCCCCCCATGTGACCGGGAACCTGAGACGGCTGCCGAACACAAGCTCCCAAATTTAGCCAGTAGAGGTGGCAGGCGGGTGTCCTGCTGGCTAGAACAGCTTTGGTGACAAGATGGGTGGGGATGGGCCAGCCCACCGGAGAATAGAGCAGGTTCTGGGGCAGGTTGGGCCAGCCCAGAGTGAATGCCCCCACTTTTCCCGTCCCCGAGAAAAGCCCACCTCTGGGCTGAGCTGGGACACTCCCAGCTCTGCCATATCCATAGGCACAGGAACACATGGACAAACACCCCCACAGGCAGACACAGATACAAAGAGGCTTCAGAAAGTTCGTGGGAAAATGGAATGGAAAGATAACGGAATTTTTCCATGAGCTTTTTGAAGCCCCTTTGTATGCCCATTAAAACACACACACACACATTGCATGTGCCAATGTGTACATATACAATGCAGCCCATGCAAATACTCATGCACACATAAACACATTTCTGTGACACAAGGCGAGGGGCACAAATGCAAACACACTCATACATGAACACACACTCAGTAGGCCAGACACAAATGGACACATTTAGACACAGCAGCACACACACACAGAGCCTCCAAGTTTCCAAAAACACACAAATAGGTAAATGAAAACTTTGTTATTACATGCATACAGGCCAGAGGGCATACAGGGGGTTTCAAATAGTTCACGGAAAAATGGAATTAAAAGATAATGAAATTTTCCTATAAACTTTTTGAAGCTCCCTTGCACAAGAATATACATACAAACACATACACACACCAACACACAGGCACATACACGCAGACACAGCTGCCAGCTAGTCTGACCCTGAGAGGAAATGAAAAGCCACTGTCACCCTTAGCTGTGAAGGGGCAATAAGCTGCCTGGAAGAGGAGCTCCCCAAACAGACCCCATCTTCATTACTTGGCATGCAGAGCTAGAAACTGATAGCCAGTAAGCGAGGGCTCTATCCAGTGTGGAGGTGGGGACGTGGTTGGAGCTAGGGAGCCATAGGAAGTACAGTCCCACTAATGGTTTAGTTGCAGAAACCAAGCGCCGAGTAAGGAAGGGTCCTGCTTGGGTCTCCCTGGTGAGCAGGGCCAGACCAGGTAACCTTGAGGCTGCCCAGAGGTCAGGAGAACTCAAGCTGGAGCACAGCTGGAGCGCTGAGGTCAGAGAATATTTATAGGGCCTGGTTTAGGCAGCTCAGGGGCTGGAGAGGCTTTAGGAAAACAAGCCCTGATCATGTCCACAAGGTGCCCGCCCCCCACCATTGCAAGGTGATCCTGTGGCTGTGTAGCTCCTTCAAAGGTGGCTGGGTGGGCAGGGCCTACCTAAGCCCAGCAGGTCCTGGGGGCTTAGAGGAGCTCAGCGCTGTAAGCAGGTAGACACAGCCCCTCTGTGTCAGAACAGTATTTGTTATTGTTGTTAAGTCCCATCGAGTCAGTTCCAACCAATAGCCACCTTGTATAGGGTTTCCTAGGAGCAGCTGGTGAGCTTGAACTGCCGACCTTGTGGTTCAAACCAACCTTGCAGTCCAGTGCATTAACCCACAGCACCACACCAGGACTCCAGAACACTACTACCCAGTGGCAAATCCCATGAAAAGTCTGATCTCTAGAGCTCTACTTCTGCCTTACTTTAGGACCTTTGACTTCTGAGTTTTCCTCTTACCTATAAAGTAGAGCTAATACCCCCAAGTCCAGAGGGGTAAAAGGGAAAAAGTGTGACGGGCCCACTAGCAATAAGGAAAAATGATTAAACATGATTACTACAGTGATAGTGGGCAGGCTGGACTGAACTGCTCAGACCTTCTGGGAGGGTAAGTCAATAAGTTCCCCCAAGGAAGAGGCTGGTATGTCCCTTCTAATGTTACCAGGGCAAACGGATACCACTGAAGAAGAAACAGCAGGAAGAGACATCCCCACCCCCTCCCTACCCCAACCACCATCAATAATCCAGAGGCTAGTAGGCCTGGGACACCTGAGCCTTTGGCATCAAAGATGCATGCACCCCACCCCCAGGCTGCCTTGCCTCCCTCACACCATAAGCCTCAAGTTACAGGTCCTTCCGCTGCCCCACTGTGAGGTCAGCCTATTCACACCTAGGACCAGGACAGGGTTGGCACCTGGGTATCCAGGGTGATCTCTCCTGCCACCTCTCCAGGCTAGAAATGGAACAGTGTGGCTACTCACAGACAAAAGGAAGGCTAGGGGTTTGACCCCAGTGATTCCCTGGGCAGCCTGCAGAATCCTGGCCACAGGGCTTATTAGCCTATGGGGGGGGCCCTTCTTCCCTGGAAGTGCCAACAGTGGCCAGCCAAAGCGGAAGGAAGGGGCCCAAGGCCACTCCCCTCCTATGGGGCTGAGTCATAAAGCCTGTCCCTTCAGCTCCTCTTGAGAAATGCTGGCCCACCTGTTGGAGGTGTGAGGGGAAGCACTGACCCAAGCCCCTGCCTTCTCTGGTTCTGCAGGGGAGGGGGTGGGGCCAGGGAAGCCCTTGTAGGGCGGTCCAGCCACCAAGTGACCACAACCACAAGCCAGGAAGGATCCAGGTGGTCAGGCAAGTCGATGGTGGCAGCCTCGGACTGGGGATTCTAGCGTGGTGGGAGGAGTGGCTAATAGCCAAACCACCAAAGCCTATCTGGGCAAGCAGCCTGGACCTTCACCACAGGCCAAGCAGCCTTCCCAGGCAAGTGACAGTTGGGGACTTAGGTCCAGGTAGGGCCAGGGTCTTGACCCCTGTCCACTGCTCCTCTTCTAGCCTGTCTGAGAAGGAACCTGGGGCCCCCAGGGTAAGCGTGTGATATTTTAGACTAGAAAGACTTCGTAGGGAAAGGGAAGATTGGCCTGGGTTCTCTTGGGCCAGGACCCTCTCCACAAACCCCGTATTTGGACCCTCTTCCCTGCCTCCAGCCTAGAGGTAGGACTATTATTCTACTGTGGCAGCTACCAGATCAGGAGATCAGAGTGGAAAATGGGAGGGAAGTCACAGGTCAAGGTCAGATTGGAGGCTCTCTTCCTCCCACTTTGAGGGTCCTGCACCAGGTTTTCCCCAGACTAGTGTGCAGGAGGTGTGAGGGTCCTGAGAGGAGCCAAAGGCCAGGATCCCTCCTTACACACCCACACAAACCATATCTAGATATCCAATACATGCATCCATGGTAACAAATGACTACTAAGATATGCCCAAATTGTACACACATGCACAGACACCCACAGACGAAAACACTGATGTCTAGAAATGGTCCCATGCAACCTACACAGCATCCAAACACCACTGGTCCATGTGCATTACGAACAAGCCTTGATGTGCACGTGCACAGACACATCCAGATGTGTACACACAGGACTGTACACCCACTCCCAGAAAAGAATAAATATGCACTCCTAGACCCAGATGGACACACAAGTACACAAAGTGGACACATATATCCCTTCCTCAGCTGTGTAGGCTGTGGATCCAAGTCCATACCCCCTCCCCCTATGATATGCCCACCCCAGGCGACCCGCGGCTGCAAAAGAGAACAGGAAGCTCCCCGGGCCATTGCTGGGGAGGAGGAAAGGGCGAGAGCCAGGAATGGGGCGCAGCCGCGAGAGGACACCCCCTCCTAGCTCCCTTCCCCTCTCGCCATCCATCCTCACCATGGATGCCCGTCTGGTGTGCCATGGCTCCGTGCGCCGCTCCGCCCGCGCCCTCGGGGCCCTCGGTTCGGCCCTGGCCGCGTTCCGCTCGCCTGGACCCGGAGGAAGAGGAGAAGAAGGATGTTGCCGCGGCCGCCTAGCCTCGCGCAGCTTCCCGGGCGGTGCCGCAGGACCCGCCCCCAGCGGGGCCCCGCCCCCGACGGGCGAGGCCGGGAGGGAGGAGCGGGAGCTCTGGGCCGCGTGTGCAACCAACTGTGAGTTTTGTGCTTAAGAGTCGACTGTCATATGCGCGCGCCTGCGCGTGCTTCTGTTTGTGGCTTGGGTAGAGGCCTACATGTGGGCGGGCGGCCGGGCGTGGGCGTGTGTGTGCCTGTATGCCGGGATCCGGTGGTCCACGGGTGGGCGTATTCGCGCGCGTGCGCGCCAGTATGTACTTCCGAGGCAATGTGGGTGTGCGGGTAGCAACGGGAAGGGGTCTGAACGTGGGCGGGAGCGCTTGTGTTTGTCATCCCTTCCCACAGGACGTTCCCTGAGCGCCTTGAGATGCAGGAGGCCAGCATCTCAAGGCTGTAGTGGTCTGCTGGCACTGCCGTCTTGGTAGAAGCCAGAGCCACTTTCTACCAAACAGCAAGCAAATCAAATGAACAGAGGCTGTGGTGCCTAGGTCCCGTGCCGAGGCTCCCAAGGTCACTAAAAAGCGAAATTTGAGCGGAGACCTAGTGAAGAGAATGGGGAATGCCGGCAGAGTGGAGGGAAAGGTGTTTTTGAGAAGAGGGAACTTTATGTGCAAAGCCCCAGAAGGTGTAAGAGAGCCAGAGGTTGGTAAGTCTGTAGAAAGGCACAACTGCTAGTGAACTTCCGTCTCCATGCCCAGCGTCCTTACCTTCTCTGACCTCTGCCTACTGCTACCAACCAATTATTGTACCTTCTGGGCCAACTGTTTAGGTCAGGGGTGAAACACGTGACCCCAATTGGCCCAATCGGAGTCTGTCTGGGGACTTTACATGGGAAGATAGGAAAGGAGGGCCCCTTTTTGATTTAGGGTTGCTGTGGGATGACTGTATCTAGTTTAAGCTTGTGGTTTCTGTTCACTGTTCCAGTGCTCTCACTTAGCTGGGCACTAAAGCTTCCTTTGTGCGCCCAGACCGTGGGGTTGTTGTCTCTTGAGTTCCAGCACACACAGAATTGAGACATTTTCTTGTTCTTCCTGAGTGCATCATGAGGGTAGAGCCCATATTGTCACTTCACCATGATCATCCCAGTACTCAGTTTGGCCCTGCCTTTGGTAGAACAATTTATAGGTAAAACTTACCCACTCTGAGTCCTGCCACCAGATGGGGCAAGGAACATAGAGCCGTTGGTTACTCTAGGGCTAAGACGACGCCACCTCATAAAACCAGTTGGAGATTCCACAGAAGCATAAGAGCCTCCATCTCTTGGTCATAAAAATTAGCCAAGATGACAGATGAATGAAAGACAATAAGGTTTTGTCCCTTATAAAATGCCCATCAACAGAGGAACTGTGAAGGGCAGGGTCACTGAAAGTATTACCGTAATTTAGGTGTTTCCCTTTACAACATCACCACCCCACCTTGCCTGACCCTCTTCCTGCTTCATCCTTTTTTCCTCTCTTTTTTTAATGTTTTATTGTGAATTATGTGATCGTTTACATGAGAGAACATTAGCTTACATTCATCCTATAGTGTATCGTTTCATTGCCATGATTATAATCCCCTGCATGCATCATCAACCAATCAAAGGGTATATCCTAACAGCCTGTTTCTCTGTGATCAGCACACAGCCCCTCTCCTTCTCTGGGTCTACAGTCCCTAGCCGCTCCATCTCTCCATGTCATCGTCTCTGCCTCCATCTCTGGCGTCACTGTTTCTCTGGGTAAGGTCTGGCACTCTGCTCTTCTCCCTTGATGGTCCCATGAACCTCCGCTCCTGGACTGCAAAGTCAACCACTCCCTCCCTGCCTTTTACTACAAAATGTCGACCTTTACATTTCCAACCCTCACAGTCAGTCCTGATAGTAATTATTCACTGTTGTGCCACATGAGTGCTATTCGCAAATCCTTTTATCAGCCCTGCCCAGATAGATTGAATACTACTCAGTGGACATTCTACCTTCCTCCACGTCTTCTGGATCTAAGCTCCCTCTTCAAAGTTTGTAAGCCAGTCACTTCTTGCCTTTATACCACCACCGCACCCCACCCCCCATTTTGGGTAGCCAGTGTCCAAGTTGCCCATCCCTGTCTATTCTGTATATGGAGGGGGTGGGAATGATCTTCGCTGTAAAGATTTGTTCCCTCTTTTGAGCTACTGTATCCATAGGTGTAGGTCAAGTTCATGAAATTTGTATCAGATTACTCTTTTTTTCCTCTTTCTTCTAGTTGAGTTCTGATCATCCATCCATTGAAGCCAGGTCAAGTGGGTATTATCTGTAAGGGTGGGTGTTCTTGTGCATATGCCCTCACTTCTTAACAGCTGGACGCTTCACTCTCCACTTTAGTCCTCTGTGGCTGTCACTGACTCTGGGCCCAGGAGTCCCCAGGTCTTGCCACACTGTTGGCCAACCAGGTCTCCACCCGGCTTTATAGGAATCTATTGAACACGGTAGGGCTCAGCTCGCAGCTTCGTTGCTGTTTTTCCCTCACTTCCCCTTATTGATGACCAACATGGTCACCAGTCAGAGTGCATTTCTGCTCATGTATTCCCTTCGAGTCTTAGATTTGGAAGGCTGTTTGCCCTGAGGGGACCCAACCACTTGCCCTGATGTCTCCTAGGCAAGCAACTTGCTTATTCTTGTAGTAATCAGTTGGACTGCCATTATTGTTTTTTATTTTTCCTGTCAGTCTTTCTTTCAAGAAGCATCTTCTGTTCTTCTAGCTGCTTCAGGCTGGTCTGCTTATCCCTTCAAGTGGAAATTTCCCACCTCAGAAGATTCTGGATGGGGTTCAGGATTCCACTTATGGTCTTATGTAATGTAGAGGCTCCAGAGGGTGCCTCCTTCACTGGGCACATTGTAGCCCCATTTTAGGCATTATTTTTTTATCTTATTGACACATACATTGTTGTTGTTGTTGTTGTTTAGTGCTGCTGAGTCAATTACAAGTCATAGAAACCCTGTATAGGGTTTCCGAGGAGTTACTGGTGAGCTTGAACTGCCGACCTTGCAGTTCAAACTGACCTTGCAGTCCAGCGCATTAATCCATAGTGCCACACTGGGACTCTTGACACATACGAGGGGGCTTCAAACAATTTGTGGGGAAAAATGGAATTAAAAGATAATGGAACCAAAACCAAAAAGATAATGGAACCAAAAGAATACACAGTGTACTAACAACAACAAAAAAAGATAATGGAATTTTTCCACAAACTTTTTGAAGCCCCCCTTGTATATTTTCTAATTTACTCTCTTACCTCCACCAGTAGGTACATTTTGTCCCCACTGTGTCCTCAATATCTACAATAGTGCCCAATATTGGTAGGTGGTCAGTAATATTATCCAAATACTAGCCAGTGGCTCCATGGAAGAAAAACCTGGTGATGGGCTTTCAAAAAGATTACAACCAAGATAGAACAGTTATCCAAGTAGAGCCCATTGGGGCGGTTCTACTCTGTCAGATGGGGTTGCTATAAGTCAAAATTGATTCATCAACACCTAGGCACAATAAGTATTTGCTGGAATATTTACATAAATGTCCTGCAGAGTTTAAACATTTATTGAATGAAAAATAATATTAGCTAAATCAGCAAATATGTGAATAAGCCATCAGAGTCCTTCTGTTGCTTACTTCCTACACACATTTATTTAGTCTTCATGACTCCCATTCAAGGTAAATATTACTTTCCCCTTTTACAGATAAAGAAATTGAGGTTTGGAGAAGTAAAGTGACTTAAGGTTGCCTAAATCTGTGCCCAAGAATTTGTGCTGTGTTTTCCTTACTGAAAAAGTTGGAACAGCCAAAAGATGAAAATGCCTGCTTGGCAGTGGTCTTCACCCTCTCCACCAGTCACTCATACCTCAGTGATGAAATAACTATATGACTTCCTCTTGGGGAAGGGCAGCCCCCAGAAAGGAACTTTCTGGAATTGAGCCCAGTCCTAATCTTCAGATCCCAGTCCTCATCTTCAGAGTGTGGAACTCAGGCAAGGAACCCACGAGCCAGCAGGTGTCAAAACAAGACTTCATCTCTGGCTGAGCTCTGGTTTCAGGTGGATAGATAAGAAAGCTGCGTGCGTACCTGTGCTTCTCAAGTAAGCCCCAAGATGCAATGATTGTCCAGGAGCAGATTGGCTCTCCCTTTCATCCTGAGATTCACAACCCAAAGAAGTCAGCCATTGAGATTATTAGAATAAACTCCCCTCACCCCCAGATGGGTCAATGACTTAAATGTACAAAATGTAAATTTTAAAAACACTAGAAGAAACAAAAGAAGACTTTTTAGAATCTTGGAGTGGAGAAGGCCTCTGGAGTATGTTACCAAATCCACAAACCATGAAAGAAAGGATCTATGAGTTCATTTACATTAAAAATATTAAATCTATTTAGAAAAACCTACCATCAGAGTCAAAACACAACTAACTTGTTACAATCAACATACTTAGAACTCACTTCAAAAGAGTTGATTTTTGTTATATATTAAGAGCTCTCATAAGAAATAAAACCAATGGCCCAGTAGAAAACTAATTAAAGGATACAAACCATCCATAGAAAGGGAAATACAAATAATGGCTCTTGAACCTGTGAAGCATTGTTTAGATGGAAATCTAGCTAGACTTAGCTTTATCAATAGAAAAAAAAAATTATTTTTGATTTTTAAAAACTGTTGGTCAAGAGAAAGGGAAATAGGCTGCTATTGGTAAATGCCATGGAGTCAGAAAATAGGCTGATGGGAGAGTAAGTTGATATCATTTTTATGTAGAACAATATGTACAAATTTGCAATTGTGTGTTCCTGTTTTTATTCAGGTGAAATTCCCATAATATAAAATTAGCCATTTTTTTTCTGTGTTAATGA